AGGTCTGGAGTTGCCTTATATGCTGACTGTGTGCCAGATGATTCCACCATCCTTACCTGTGACCACAATGGGATAATACATATCAGACTGGATGTCGCCCACTTCCTTAAACTGAACCTCTCCAAAACCGAGTTTCTTGTCTTCCCCCAGCCCGAACACCACCCCAATTGACTTCTCTATCACATCAAACAACGCTACCATCAAACCCGCCACGCAGGCCAGAGTACTTGGTGTCATTCTGGACTCCAACCTATCCTTCCAGCCCCAAGTCCAATCTTTAACAAACTCATGCAGACTCCACCTCCGCAACATCGCCAAAATACGCACGTTCCTAACCCCAGAAACCACTAAACAGCTCATCCACTCCCTCATCATATCACGACTCGATTACTGCAACTCCCTCCTCACTGGCCTGCCTCGCCGCTGGCTATCCCCGCTTCAGTCCATCCTGAATACGGCTGCCAGACTCATTCACCTTTCCAACCGCTCCGTCTCCGCAACCCCCCTCTGCCAATCCCTCCACTGGCTTCTGATTGCGCAACGGATCAAATTCAAAATCCTAACGCTGACGTACAAAGCTGTCCACCATACTGCCCTGAACTACATCACTGACCTAATATCCAAGTACCGCCCAGCACGCACACTCCGCTCCTCACAAGACCTCCTTCTCTCTAGTTCCCTGGTCTCCTCCTCCCATGCCGCCTCCAGGACTTCTCCAGGGTGTCACCCATCCTCTGGAACTCCCTGCCCCAAACCATCAGATTATCACCTACTCTCCTCTCCTTTAGGCGCACCCTGAAAACCCATCTCTTCAGGGAAGCCTACCCCCACCCCCTGCTAACTTCTCGACCTCCTCCACTCTTCCTACCACTCCATCCCCCACAGCTATCTCCTCCTGTACCACTATCCCCTCCCTCCTAGATTGTAAGCTCGAAAGAGCAGGGCCCTCGATCCCCTCATGTTTTGCATTGTATTGGTATTGTTCTGTCACATGTTCTGTCACCCTTTGTAATGTACAGCGCTGAGCGAACTATTGGCGCTTTATAAATACTGTATAATAATAATAATATATATACATGCGCTTTATTTTTGCACTTCTGGTGAGTGCAATCATATTACCAATTCCAATCATGGATTTCACTAACACGGATCACATGAATTTTGTACTTTTATTTATCCTGCTGATTTTATGTCAATATTCATCAAACACTAAAGTCACCTTGCATTTATTTTTCTATTGAATCACTTGCCTAAACGTCATTATATGATGGTTCACTTTATACCTGTTTATCACTTTTAGCGCAATTAAGCGCTCACGCCAGTCATTTTTATGTTATTTTAAGCACTGCATTTTTATTTATATATAGAAACCAATCAGCTTTTTGGCAAAGTTTAATTGAACAAGCTGACGTTAGAAGCTGATTGGCTACCATGCACAGCTGCACCAGATTTGGAAGTGATCCAGTTTTAGTAAATCTCTCCCACTGGGTGAACCTTAGGGTTGCCACCTCATCCCTTTAAAACCAAACACATACAGTGCCTTGAAAGAGTATTCATACCCCTTGAAATGTTCCACATTTTGTCATGTTACAACCAAAAAGGTAAATGTATTTTTTTGGGATTTTATATGATAGACCAGGGGTCTCCATACTTTCTAAACAAAGTTCACTGTCCTTAAAAACTTTAGGGGGGCCGGACTAGGGTCAGTGGGAGTAGAAAATCTCCTGGAGTCCAGTGAGAGTAAACAATGCCTTATCTTTGGTGTCAGTGGAAGGACCACTGCCTTGGTGTCAGTCGAAGGACTAATGTCCCATCTTTGGAGTTAGAGTGGGAGGAATAGTGTCCCATGATTGGTATTAGAAGAAGGAATAGTGTCCCATCCTTGGTATCAGTAGGAGGAATAGTGCCCCATCACTGGTGTCAGTGGGAGGAATTGTGCCCTTTCTTTGATGTCAGCGGGAGGAATAGTGCCCCATTGTTGGTGTCCCTTGGAAGAATAGTGTCCCATCATTGGTATCAGTGTGGGAGGAAAAGTTTCCCATCATTGGTGTCAGTGGGAGGAATAGAGCCCCAAGGGCCGGATAAAGGCAAGCAAAAGGTCACATCCAGCCCCCGGGCCACAGTTTGGAGACCACTGTGATAGACCAACACAAAGTAGCACGTAATTGTGAAGTGAGAGGAAAATGATAAATGTTTTTCAAAACTTTTTACAAATAAATCTGTGAAAAGTGTGGCGTGCATTTGCATTCAGCCCCCCTGAGTCTTTGTAGAACCATCTTTCGCTGCAATTACAGCTGCAAGTCTTTTTGGGGATGTCTTTACCAGCTTTGCACATCTAGAGAGTGACATTGTTGCCCATTCCTCTTTGCAAAATAGCTCAAGCTCTGCCAGATTGGATGGAGAGCATCTGTGAACAGCAATTTTCAAGTCTTGCCACAGATTCTCAATTGGATTTAGGTCTGGACTTTGATTGGGCCATTCTAACACATGAATATGCTTTAATCTAAATCATTTCCATTGTAGCTCTGGCTGTATGTTTAGAGTCATTGTCCTGCTGGAAGGTGAACCTCCGCCCCAGTCTCAAGTCTTTTGCAGACTCTAACAGGTTTTCTTCTAAGATTGCCCTGTATTTGGCTCCATCCATCTTCCCATCAACTCTGACCAGCTTCCCTATCCCTGCTGAAGAAAAGCATCCCCACAACATGATGCTGCCACCACGTTTCACGGTGGGGATGGTGTGTTCAGGGTGATGTGCAGTGTTAGTTTTCTGCCACACATAGCATTTTGCTTTTAGGCCAAAAAGTTAAATTTTGGTCTCACCTGACAAGAGCACCTTCTTCCACATTTGCTGTGTCCCCCACATGGCTTCTCGCAAACTGCAAATGGGACTTCTTATGGCTTTCTTTCAACAATGGCTTTCTTCTTGCCACTCTTCCATAAAGGCCAGATTTGTGGAGTGCACGACTAATAGTTGTCCTGTGGACAGATTCTCTCACTTGAGCTGTGGATCTCTGCATTTTCTCTCCACTTCACAATTATGTGCCACTTTGTGTTGGTCTATCACATAAAATCCCAATAAAATACATTTATGTTTTTTGGTTGTAACATGACAAAATGTGAAAAATTTCTAGGGGCATGAATACCTTTTCAAGGCACTGTATTAATTTCCCAAGTTCTGAGGCTAATTTAATGCAGATAAGGCACTAGGTGAATTAAATTACCACCTTAATCAGCCACAGAACCTGTGTAATTAAAACGGTTGTCCAGTCAAACCAAACTAAATAAAATAAATAAAGGTCAGCAGCTATAAAAACTGTAACTGCTGACTTTTAAAAAACAGACTCTCATGTGTCCCATGATCCAGCGGTGTACTCACTGCAGCCGGGTTCACTGCCCATCCTCACTCCCTGGCGCCGACATCTTAAGTGTGGCACCAGGCTATGACACCTTGCGGCTTCACAGCTGGGTGCCCACTGCGCATGTGTGAGTAGTGATGTGCCTTGTGAATGGTCCTGTAGTCTTCTGGGACCCATCACGTGTCCCAGATGACTGAGGGGGGAGAACAACTTCTGCTTTCGATCGCTTAAGTCGTCGCAGCAGAAGTGGGAGCGGGTACCTGTCAAATTGTGTACCCGCTCTCCAAACGTGCCAATTACTCACAGGGAGTGGGGAACCAGTACCTAAAGCAGAACTTCCCCTTTTGGGTGGAGCTCCACTTTAATATGTTCGGTTTTAACCACTTGCAGACCGCAGATAGCCGAATGACGGCTTCACTGCGGCCGGCCAGGTCTGGGAGGGTGTCATATGACTTCCTCCCAGAACATGCTCTCTCACACGCCCCCCGGGGGCACGCTCCCAACGATCTCATGACCGCTGTGTCCTACAGACACAGCTGATCATGTGATGTGGTAAGAGGCCAATCACAGCGGCCTTTTACCAGTGATCCGTGTCCAATGACACAGCCGATCACCGGTAAATGCAGTTGCCGGTTATCGGCTGCACTATCCTCACGCTGTCACGGTGTGAGGAAAGTACTGCCGATAACAGGACAATTGTCAGAGGAGGGATTGGCACCGATCATCAGTGCCCTGATGATCAGTGCCACCCACCAGTACCCAGTAGTGCCACCCACATGTGCCCATCAGTGCCGCCTATCCGTGCTACCTGTCAGTGCAGCCTCATCAACACACATCAGTGAAGGAGAAAAATTACCTGTTTGCAAAATTTTATAACAGAAACAAAGAAAAACGTTTTTTTTTTGCTTTTTTTGTTTATAGCACAAAAAATAAAAACACCCAGTGGCGAGTAAATACCACCTAAAGAAAGCTCTATTTGTGTGGAAAAATATTATAAAAATGTCATATGGGTACAATGTTACATCACCGCGCAATTGTCAAAGTGTGACAGCGCTGAAAGCTAAAAATTGGCCTGGACAGGAAGGGGGTAGAAGTGCCTGGTAGGCAAGTGGTTAAAGAAATGCAGTGCAAACCTAGGGAACCTGCAAAAAAACAGAGCCAATACCAAGACCAGTGACAATTTCACAAGACCAAGGACTGTCCCTGGAAAACAAGGCCAGGCTTCTTGCTGGTCAGGTTGGGATCAGTAGGAAGTGGCCTTTTGTTTTTAGTTTTTCAATGGAACAAAGCAAGCTAAGCGTCTCTGCTCCATACATGTGACAATGGAGCACTGAAACAAAAACCTCGCGCCTAATGATAACGTCACTTACGAAGGCCGCCATTTTTGTAAAGGGCAGACTCTTCAAATGTCCGTAAATTGTTCTACCATTGATAATTTTATAGCACGCCGAACGAAGAAACACGCAGTGCACGCTTGCCAATGTACAATAGTGACATAACATAGCCTTGACTGGGAAGCAAAGACTTGCCTTCATGTAAAATGGCCGCTCCAGCTTCTCTCCATACTTGTCGTTTCACGTCATCAGATACGACACCGAGAGAAGCCGAGAAGCGGGGTGAAGCAGAACTTGGGTTTGAAAGGAGATGAATAGCCGGCTGCAAGAGATTCGAGCAAGGCAGAAGCTGCGCCGGAAGTTGCTGGCCCAGCAGGTAGTGTGCCCGTGTTTATGATGAGGGAATTGTACCGATCTCTAGGAGTGTGCATGGAGGGAGATCGGTACATGTGTGGCCATGGGTGATGATAGAGGAGTGCACAAAGCACCTAAGTCCTAATCCTGTATATTACTCTACACACTGAGCAGACCTGAACAGGGAGGAGGATGGAGGCAGACATTCTTCATTAATAGCCTCTAGGCCCTGGAACAAACCTTCCAACAGTGAAGTCGCATCTAATGCAGGACCCCTGATCTAGGTGAGAGGCCTGATACATATGGCAGCCATTGAATTCCAGGAATTGAGAGAGCTGTGCCATGTTCCCTTTAACTACTTGCCTACTGGGCACCTATACCCCCTTCCTGCCCAGGCCAATTTTCAGCTTTCAGCACTGTTGCGCTTTGAATGACAATTGCGCGGTGATGCAACACTGTATCCAAATTACATTTTTATCATTTTTTTGAGACAGAACTTTCTTTTGGTGGTATTTAATCACCTCTGGGTTTTTTATTTTTTGATAAACCAAAAACTGAAAAATTTTGAAGCAAAAAAAGTTTTTTCTTAGTTTCTGTTATAAAACTTTGTAAATAAGTGATTTTTCTCCTTCACTGATGTGCACTAATGAGGCTGCACTGATGGGCATTGACAGGCTGCACTGTTAGGTGGCACTTTAAGGCAGCTCAGATGAACATCGATATGTGGCATTGATGTGTACTGCTAGGCAATATGTGGCATTGATGAGCACTGACAGGGCTACACTGATCACCATAACACACTGATCATCAGTGCTCTGATAATCAGTGTACATGTCCCCTCTGAGAAATGGCGATTACCGCTCTCCTCTCCTCTCGAGTTGTCAGTGTGACAGCTTGTGAGAAGAGAAATGCCGATAACCTGCATTTCCTTATTTCCATGTGATCAGCTGTGATTGGACACAGCTGATCATATGACAGAGCAGACGTCTTCGGCGATCCACTGTGTCCCAGGGACACAGCGCACCACCGATTTGCCGCGCTGCGCGTCCCCGGAGGTGCGCATGCGTGGTTAGAGTGTGAGGACATCATATGATGTCCTCCCAAAACAAGAGAATGGTCTTGCCCTGTCATTTCCTTATATGGCGGGCGGGAGGTGGTTAAAGATCCATTCACATCTACGCATTCCGTAAACACGCATTGTGCTTGCCCTGCCATTCATTGTTAATGGCACCCCAGATGTTACCAGCACACCTACTCTTTTGCATGCAGTAAAAAAAAAACGTGAAGCTGAACTCTGGGAAAAAAAAAATATTTTAGAAGTTTGGACGCAATGTAAAAATAAATGATGGGTGTTCCATGAGTAGATAGTGTTACGTTAGGAAAAAACTATTAGTTTAATTGATCCTGGACACTACCGTAAAGCCAGCCATACACGGGTCAAATTCAGAAAGAGTTTTCCTTTGAAAATCTTTCGTTCGAATTTCGCACCATTAGTTGTCAATTTTCACATGACCATCGAATTTGAGTGATCAGGCATGTTGGAATTTTTTTTAAAAACGAACAAATTTCTAATCAGTGATGGGAGAATCGTGCAAGCAAAAGAAATGAGCTGTGACCTGGAAAGAAAAGTAAATTCTTGGCCACAAAAATTGTATTCTGTAGCAACATGAGGTGAAATTGAAGGCTTGGTTGGTCAAATCTCGAAATCAATGGTGTCACCATCGGTTTACAAAATGCACAAAATTTCAGATTTTCTAAAGAAAAGTTGTTCGGAATTCGACCCATGTATGGCTTGCATAAGCTCTGAACTTCCGGCACTGAAACTTCCAGCTCCAGTACAATACATGATAGTTGCCCACTCTCCACTTTTCTCTCCCTTTGTTCATCCACAGAATGCCATGGATTTTATGAAAAGAAAACATGACCTTTTTTTGTGACTAGATGAGGGGAGAGGAAGGTGAAGAGTCAGCCACTTCCTGTCATTCATTCTACTAGAGCCACAACTGTCCATTTCAGTGCTGTCAGCAGTGTCTGGGATCAATGAAACTAATTCTGTAGATTTATCTAATGCAGGCCATACAGTGGGGCAAAAAAGTATTTAGTCAGCCACCAATTGTGCAAGTTCTCCCACTTAAAGAGATGAGAGAGGCCTGTAATTGGCATCATAGGTAGACCTCAACTATGAGAGACAAAATGAGAAAAAAAATCCAGACAATCACATTGGCTGATTTGGAAAGAATTTATTTGCAAATTATGGTGGAAAATAAGTATTTGGTCAATATCAAAAGTTCATCTCAATATTTTGTTATCCTTTGTTGGCAATGACATGAGGCCAAACGTTTCCTGTAAGTCTTCACAAGGTTGGCACACACTGTTGCTGGTATGTTGGCCCATTCCTCCATGCAGATCTCCTGTAGAGCAGTGATGTTTTGGGGCTGTCGCTGGGCAACACGGACTTTCAACTCCCTCCAAAGGCTTTCTATGGGGTTGAGATCTGGAGACTGGCTAGGCCACTCCAGGACCTCGAAATGCTTCTTACGAAGCCACTCCTTCCTTCGTTGCCCGGGCGGTATGTTTGGGATCATTGTCCATGTTGGAAGACGTAGCCACGTTTCATCTTCAATGTCCTTGCTGATGGAAGGAGGTTTGCACTCAAAATCTCACGATACATGGCCCCATTCATTCTGTCCTGTACATGGATCAGTCATCCTGGTCCCTTTGCAGAGAAACAGCCCCAAAGCATGATGTTCCACCCCCATGCTTCACAGTAGGTATGGTGTTTGGATGCAACTCAGTATTCTCTCTCCTCCAAAACACGACGAGTTGTGTTTCTACCAAACAGTTCTATTTTGGTTTCATCTGACCATATGACATTCTCCCAATCCTCTTCTGGATCATCCAAATGCTCTCTAGCAAACTTCAGACGGGCCCGGACATGTACTGGCTTAAGCAGGGGGACACGTCTGGCACTGCAGGATCTGAGTCCCTGGCGGCGTAGTGTGTTACTGATGGTAGCCTTTGTTACGTTGGTCCCAGCTCTCTGCAGGTCATTCACTAGGTCCTGGGATTTTTGCTCATCGTTTTTTGTGATCATTTTGACCCCACGGGATGAGATCTTGCAAGGAGCCCCAGATCAAGGGAGATTATCAGTGGTCTTGTATGTCTTCCATTTTCTAATTATTGCTCCCACAGTTGATTTGTTCACACCAAGCTGCTTGCCTGTTGCAGATTCAGTCTTCCCAGCCTGGTGCAGGTCTACAATTTTGTTTCTGGTGTCTTTCGACATGCTCCTTGGTCTTCACCATAGTGCAGTTTGGAGTGTGACTGTTTGAGGTTGTGGACAGGTGTCTTTTATACTGATAACAAGTTCAAACAGGTGCCATTGATACAGGTAATGAGTGCAGGACAGAGGAGCCTCTTAAAGAAGAAGGTACAGGTCTGTGAGAGACAGAAATCTTGCTTGTTTGTAGGTGACCAAATACTTATTTTCCACCATAATGTGCAAATGAATTCTTTCCAAATCAGCCAATGTGATTGTCTGGATTTTTTTTCTCATTTTGTCTCTCATATTTGAGGTCTACCTATGATGCCAATTACAGGCCTCTCTCATCTTTTTAAGTGGGAGAACTTGCACAATTGGTGGCTGACTAAATACTTTTTTGCCCCACTGTACATGGGTCGAATTCCTAACAAAATGTCTTTAGAAAATTGGAAATTTCATGCGTTTTATAATCCAATGGTGCTTTCAGTGATTTCTAAATTCAACCAACCAAGCCTTCAATTTCACTTTATGTTGCTACAGAAAAGAATTTTCACAGCCTTGAATGTTCTTTTCTTTCCAGGTCAAAGCTCATGCTTAATTCTTTTTTTGTTTATTTTTCTTGCATGATTCTCCCATCATTGATTCAAAATTAATTTGTTTTTTTAAAAATTTCCCGATCACTCAGATTCAATGGTCATACAAAAATTGGCTGTTTCTATGACCCACTAATGGTGCGAAGATCGAACGAACATTCTTAGAAAAGATTTTCAAAAGAAAATTCTTCCGGAATTCAACCTGTGTATAGCCAGCTTAACACAGCATCATCTGTGTATGAAACACACATCATTAACCACTTGACCTCCAGAAGGTTTTACCCGCTTCGTGACCAGATAATTTTTTACTATTCAGCACTGTGCTACTTTGGCATTTGCCCAATCATGCAACATTGTATGAAAATTTATTTCAGGTACTTCTATAGTGCTGTCAATTTACACAGCTCTTTACATATATATTGTACATTCACATCAGTCCCTAATCCTCAAGAGGTGTACAATCTAAGGTCCCTAACTCACATTCATACATAGACGGGCCAGTTTAGACAGGATCCAATTAACCTACCAGCATGTTTTGGGAGTGTGGGAGGAAACTGGAGTACCCGGAGGAAACAGTGCAGGCACAGCGAGAACATGCAAACTCCAGGCAGGTGATGCTGTGGCTGGGATTCGAACCAACTACCTTACTACTGCCAGGCGGAAGTGCTAACTATTTAGCCACTGTGCTGCCCAATAAAATGTATATAATTTTTTCTTTCACACAAATAGAGATTTCTTTTGGTGATATTTGATCACCACTGGGTTTATTTTTTTTATTATATAAACGAAAAAAAGGTCGAAAATTTTTTGGGAAAAAAAACCAATACTATTTTCTTTTATAAAACCTATCCAATAAAATCAAATGTTTTTATAAATTTAGCCTAAAATGTATTCTGCTACATGTCTTTGGTAAAACAAAAATCCCAATAAGCATATATTGGTTTGTGTGAAAGTTATAACACCTACAAACTATGATATATAGTGGAATTTATGCAGCTATGATGCCATCCTGTAAGGGTGGTGATCAGTGGCTTTTAGTGGGACTGTGATAGTGTGGTAGACATTCTCACGCTAGCTGATGCTAGTTAGGAGGTACATTAACTGACACATCAGTAGCAATACTAATACAGTGATCAGTGCTAATATTGTCACTGTACTAATGACACTGGCTGGGGAAGGGGTTAACATCTAGGGGAAATCAAGGGGTAATTGCGTGCCTAAAAATGCGTAACGTGCTGCTTTTACCTTAATTATATGGCTGTTAAATAGCCAGATCACTTTTCCCTGTGTAATCGTGAAACTCTGTGTATAATTGGACACAGCCGATCAGCTGACTGCAGCCAAACTATCAACTGCCAAACTCGTGCTGTGTCCAATCAAAACATGGGTCAACAGAGGATGCAGAAAACAAATACACTTCTATGAAGATCCAACTGCATATTGCCTCAAGGCTCACTTTCTGGATGGGTTGCTGTCAATAAATATCTTGGGAACCATTTCCAGACCACGTATCAGCGTGACCAGTTTGTAATGTTTGCTTCAGGCACTGTATCCTGTGTTTGATACTTACCTTGGCACGTGGCACAACAAGCATATAGGTCCAGGGCCGTGGTCCATTCTTATTACATGCAGACCCTGACGATCCCTTTGGGGGGGTATGCCCACTGTAACAGGTGAAGTTCGGTCTACTTTAGGAACCTTCATTGTGGACAAGATAAGACCGTGTCCTGCCTTACGTATGAGTTGTCATTTTACATTGTGTTTTATCTCCTTATTCAAATATCTTTACTACACTAGCAGAAAGTACCCTTTATAATTTTGATTTTTTATAATTTGGAGGGTTTTTCACATGCATCGTTTGATACTTGGGTGGTGACGTAGCTGAAAATACCTTTTTACAATCTGCCAGCTTCAGCTCAAAAACAGGTAGTTCTGTGGGCTGCCCAGAATCAACTTCAGGCAGAAGGAGTGGTAATGCCAGTTTCTCAAGAAAAAGTATTCAAAGGTTTATACTCAAACCCATTCATGGTCCCTAAAACCATACTGAGGCATTTACACTATTTTGGGCGTAAAATCTCTGAACAGATATCTGCAAGCCCCCAAATTTTGCATGGAGTTTGCAAGATCTGTCATAGCTTTCCTCAATTTAAGGGGATTTCTGGCACATCTTAACTGAGGTATCTCCATGAATAAGGAGGAAAAAAAAACCTACAATAGGCCACAATAGAGTTCTTTAGGACCCATGCACTCTGGCTTTAAAAACTACTGCTTGTAGAAGCAGCTTCACCACTTCTTAACTGCACTATAGTAAAAAAGATGGCTGCAGCGTGGCTCCCCAGTTCCCTAAATCCGCACTTCCTGTGTGGCCCCAGGGATGTGCATCAGTGTGCGCTGTGACTTCTGATCACATGTAAACAGACTTGCTAGCATATGTGAAGCCAAGCTGAAGAAGAAAAATTACTTATTTGGTAAATTTAACATATCGTCGCAACTACTTTGTATATCCAGGTGGATTATGTCTTGTTTTTGTTTTCTTGTGTTATGTCTTGTTTTTGTAATAGATATCTCCTGATTTTTTTTTTTTTTTTTTTTATTATCAAAGAAAAACTGTTCTAAAATAGAAAAGAAAAATTATTTTTTTTAACATTTAGCTGTATATTTCTTGCCATTACCAAAACCCGAAACCAAAGAATTGCCTAAAATAAATTCTCCAGCTCCTGACAATCACAGTGTTTTCACATGTGTATGTAATTTGATGTTTGTACCCATACAATCATGCACATTCTGCTTTTTTTTTTTTTTTGGTAACTTTCAATTATTTTTTTAAACATTTTTGTCAGACAAAAGTAAAAACAGTATAAAGATAGGAAAATGTCTCAGTTATGTGAGAGAATGAGATACATGAATCATCCACAATGGATATAATAGAGATCAAACCTCAAGTAGAACAGGTGAACAACATACATACCAGTGGATTTGACAAATACAAAACCGTGCAAGTAATGAGCACTGGGCATCCAACATACTTGTCACAGTAAGAACAAAGAGGTTCCAGGGTAAAACAAGCCTATATATATATATATATATATATATATATATATATATATATATATATATATATATAGTGGGCATAATGGAAATGTATCATAAGGACAACTCACCTTTTCTAAATACCTGAGAGTATAACCTCATTAAGGAATAAGAAAACAAGTATAGAGTGTAGAGTAAGTAAAAGTAATAGAAGAAAAAAAGATAGTATAGTAAGGAGGGTTGTCTCAGGAGCCGCTAGTCTATGGACTGGTATTTAATCTATGGATCCATAGTCTTTTCAAATATTGTGATATTTTTTTGGAGGGTATAGTTGAGCCTATCGTTAACCATAATCCAATTCAATTTGTGTTTGATATAGTCAAGTGATATCACAGGTTGCTTCCAATGCTCTGCAATGGTGATCGTAGCTGCTAAGATCATATCATATAAAGTGAAGGAAATAAGTATTTGATCCCCTGCTGATTTTGAATGTTTGCCCACTCACAAAGAAATGATCAGTCTAAAAATCAAATGGTAGGTGTATTGTAACACTGAGAGACAGAATAGCAACAAAAAATTGAAAAGAAATGCATGTCTAGCAGCGTGTGACAGCGTGAGAAAAGTGCAGCCGATAATAACTGGCAACTGTATTTACCCGGTGTTCTGCTATGTCATTGGACACAGCTGATCACGAGGTAAAAGGCTGCTGTGATTGGCCTTTTACCACATCACGTGATCAGGCTGTGTCTGTAGGACACATGATCACAGAGATCACGGGGTGCGCGCTGCTGGGGGCATGCGGGAGGGCGTGTTTTGAGAGGATGTCATATGACGCCCTCCCAGAACTGGACAACCGTGCTGTAGCTGTCATTCGGCTATAGCGAGGTTGCCAAGTGGTTAAACATTCTGATCCAGAATCTGGATACTTTAGGACATTGCCACCAGATTTGAAATATTGTACCCAGTTAGCCACAGTGCCGGAAGCAGGCTGCTGAAGCCAAGGGATGCATTTTTGCAATCCTTGTGGGAACCAGGTACCATCTAGTAGCATTTTGTATTTTATTTTAGATAAAGCATTAGCTGTGTCCTGCCATTCATCTAGTTCAAGGGAGAGATTCATATCTTTTCCCAAAGAAGCATATATTGGAGTTTACAGTTCTGGTCAGTGAAGGAAGCATATAATGTAGATATCCATCCTTTCATAAAATCTCTTGTTTGACTGGATATTTCAAAGGTTGTAAGGGTTAGTGGCTTTAAGTTTGGTTTGCACAAAAGACATGATTTGGTTGCATTGAATCTTTTCAGTGGAGGGTAAAATTTTGCTTTTTTTTTTTTTTTAACCTACCTAAAACACACTGATGATAATTTAAAAAAATGCTTTAAAAAAAAATAAATCCTGACCATGACCTTTGACCCCCGACCTTTGATCCTTACGTGACCCTAACACTAACCCTAACACTGACCTAGATCTAACCTTGATCTAGGTATTTTTTTTCTTTCTTTCTTTTTTTTTTTTTTTTTTTTTGTACACACACGCTTGTTTAATTACGAGAGAAAGACAGAGAGATGAAGGCTGCACAGACACTGATGACTGTGATAGCCAATCAGAGGTCATCACAGTGATCAGGTGACCCAGAATCGAGAGTCCCGGGCCTCAAACGTTAGTACGGGACCCAGTGCTTCCGGTGACAGTCCAGTCTTTGTGCTTTTCCCAGCACAAACATACGCATATATGCGGCTTTATGGAAAAAAGCCCAGTTCTGCGAGACCGCATATGTGTGTACAGTTGGCAGGAGGGGGTTAAATACCACCAAAGGAAAGCTCTGTCGGTCTCAAAAAAAGGATAAATGTTTTTCATTTGGGTACAGTGTGGCATGACTGCACAATTGTCATTCATGGGAGAGGAGAGAGAGACACAGGGATTTCAAATCCCCAAACCTGTGAAGCAGCTTTTCCTTCCGTGACACCATGGGAGGTTTCCCCATTCCATTCCTGTGTGACAAGCCTGGGTTTACACAGGAGCAGTCAGGGAACCATATGCGATTTGAACAGGAAATTTCACCCGAATTCCTGTTCAAATCGAATGTTATTCTTTGTGGTGCGATTTGCATCTACACATTTTGTATTAACACAAATTGCACTGCAAAGTATCGGTTTCGGATATCAGGAGCGTTTTTAGGAGTAATCGTACTCGTGAAAATATTCGGAATCAGTACCAACACCAATAGCGGTATTGGCATCAGTGCATCCCTACCATTTATATATAACCAAGGTTTGGGGAACAGTGTTTTACTGCTGGATTCAAATAAACAATATAAGACTGTCAATATGGTCAAATGAATTTAATAAATGTAAGATATTTATATTTTTTTTTTATTGTTTCTAGCTGGGAGCAGAAAATGCAGACAACATTGGAGCTGTTCTAAACAGCAAGGATGAGCAAAGAGAAATTGCAGAAACCAGAGAACTCTGCCGGTAAATATATCTGAATTGTACGGTGATTGGGAATTCCTACTTTCCATTTTTCCTGTCCCAATACTGGGAACACAATTTTGGAGATAATATAAATAATAATGTTCTAGGTTAAAAAAAGATCTCTGAACCTCCCAAAAATAATATACCAGTGTGCAGTACAGCAATATATGTGTAAATTGGGCATCACTGAATGGAAGTAACAGTCATGTCCAGGTCCGCAGCTGTGCCACTTATCAGCATGGGTGTCCTCTCCCAGGTCTCCCGCACGGATGCTGCTGTCATCCTCATAGCAAGGCAGGGTGGTGGGAGGTGCTGCAGATCTAGATAGAGAGCAGGAGTTTTTTCAGATTAACAAGCAGGTAATCACCTGCTCATTAACATAATAATTTGGGCAGCTCCCACCCTTTGTCCAGACTTTTCTGCTGGGTTGGAGACCCAGGAGGGGACACCCAGGTTTATAAGTGTCTCTGCTTTGCTGTTTTATGGTAGGACTGTGCACGGGAGGCTACGATTAAAAGTGGGGCTGTGATGTAAGGGAGGAAAGGGGGCTATAAGTGATTTAAGGGGGGCTGTGTGGTGTAGAGGGGACTGCAGTGTAAAGGGGGGCTGTGATGTGACGGCGAACTGGGATGTAAGGGCTCATGCACACCAGAATTCAGTGCGGAAAACCCATGTTCCATGTGCGTTCCCCGCATCATATTCAAAACGCACTTGGCTACGATGAAGAGGGTGCGCCCCCGAAACGTGTCAGCTTGCGGGGTGTTTGGATTATGTGTATCCTGCACTATATGGCATCTTGTGGTTTACACGCCTTTACAAGCTGTACTCTTGTGAGTATCCATCTGTACCGCTTTTTACTTAAAATAAATCTTTAGTAATGCACTAGGTGCTTGTGCCTTCCTGTTTGTTTTTTTTGTAGTTGCAGTGGGTGTGCAATCTGCTGCAGGCTTCAATATGTTCCTATCGACAATACAATGCAAATTGCATACGCAGTGTGTTTTCCTGCACCGGATCACATGGTACCGCAGTGCCACACGATTTGGTGCAGTGCGTTTTTTAAAAGTAGTGTGTGCAGTACATTTTGTGTGATCCAGCACAATTTCAGAGAGGGACGCAGACTGCATTCACTTGTGATTCAACTGTAAACATTGATGTAAATGGGGGGGGTTGTTATCTGAATAGGGGGGTGAAGACACTTATGTAAAGGAGGGGGGGGGCTATAGTGTGGAAGGGGGCTGAGGACACTGATGTAAGGGGGGGGGATGTCATGTGAAGGGGGAAATGAGGACACTGATATAAAGAGGGGGGGGACTGTGGTATAAAGGGTGATATGATGCAAAAGATAGGCAGAAGGCACTGATGTACAGTGGGGGGGGGGTACTGCGATGTGTTATAATGCAAATATTATATTTGGAGCTCTGCTGGAAGAAATTTTTACTGACTGGACCTCAATGAATTTTAATTCAAGGTACAAATGAAAGCTTAGCTGGATATCATTCCCTGCTGGCCAGTCTATAAATGACATATGCTCTGCTAGCATAATATACCATAGGCTGGTCTGTAATAATGGTGTGAGTGGGGTGAGGTGAATGTGAAATAAAGACGGGTTTTCATCTCTCCGTGGTGTATTTTCTGGAAAATCTTTTTAACGTTTCTTTGCTAGTGACTAGTCAACACTAGCTTGCGCTATTGGTGATACTGACTTGGCCCCCTTTAGTTTCATAGCCGTAGTGATGACATAAATTGCTTCTCTTGCGAATCAATAGCTGAAGATGTATGTTTTCTGTTATAATACAGTGCAGATAAGTCAGAAGACAAATGTATTATATATCCTACCCTTTTCGATATAATTTGTAATGTAAAATTCAAGAACAACACAATCCAATTGCAAAGACGAGAAGCTGGGTAACATTCTTAAAATGGATCCCACATGGCACCTAACTTTTCTGAGCTTTCCCTACTACTTCCAACGGAATATCATGATCCTTTCAGTCTTTTATTTTTTGGATTTAATCTTTATGGCTGCCCAAAGTAGTCCAGTGCACCTGCTGTAAACCAGTCCTTAAAGAGCTGTATGGGGTGTATAAAAACAAAAAACAGAACACATGCTCACCTCTATGCTGCAGCATCGTTGTGATGCTACAGCTGTCTCATGTCGGCTCTAAGCCCGTTGGAGTAGCTCTGCCTCTTCAGTGCCCACTTGAGCACCGGGCTGGAGAGGTGATGGGCACAGCTGGCTTTGGCTTTCAGCCAGGTGTTGAGAGCTGGAGCCAGTTGTCAATCGGGCATCTGGGTGGATCCCAATAATATGGTTGATGTTCTTCTAGAGTCTGGAGCTGCTTTGCCACGTCAGCTGACAGCAGGCTATACCCCACTGTCAGCTGACTCTGGGTAACAGGGGTGCAAGTAATCACTCCTGTGACCTACAAGGGAAGTATGGTCATTTTGGCCATACTGCAATTTTAAGGACAAAAAAAAAAAGAACACGGTTCTGTTGATAGTAATATAGAGCACTCAGAAGGGTTAGATGCCACGTGGCATCTATTTTTAAGCATGTTACCCATTTTCTTGTGCCTTTGTATCTTCTAATGCATTTTGTTATATTTCTGTAGTGCTACGTATGATACTTCAGCACCATGTCTGAAGCGGAAACCTCCAGAGGAAGGGAAAGCTGATGAGGAGGTAGTTGAAGAGAGTAAGGTAATGGATTTGGTTCTTTTTCCTACATCATAATTTTTTTTTCTGTTGCGCAGTACAGTGTTTTACATGCAGAAAATAAAAGCTACAAAAAGCCTTCATCTGCTTTGAAGAGTTGTATTGAGCTGCAAACAGTTGCCTGCATCTTAAGCAAACTATCACAGTATAACAGTAGCTGTACATACAGTTTTTTGTGATTGAAGGAAGCCTGGAGAACAAACTTGGGAATACCTTGCTGGTCTCCATAGTAAAATAGAAAAACAAGAAAGGCAAAGGGCATCCATCCACTGATAAGGCAGTTGATATTTTATTTCAATTTACTTTGTCTTCACTGACTTCCATAGTAGCATGACAGTGGCTTGTCTAGAAGAAATTTGGCAAGACTCCTAATTCTTTGTATTGAAATAGTTCACTTTAGGTGACATAAATTTCTTCTCAAAGTAAAAAGCACCTTAACTAGATATTGTATCAAAGATGTAGAGTGGGTCCTCCCTCAATTCTGTCATTGTTTGATACATAGTTTTAAACTTTGATTGTTTTCTTCCCATTGGCATTTGTGTTAAAGGCTACCAATAATAACACATTAGATATTAAACCTCAAAGCTGAATTCCAGGAATTCAACAACTTTGTAAACGTGCGTTCATACCATGAGTTAAGTCCTATGAGGTTCATGACACCTGAACTTAACTCTGTTATTTATATCTGAAAGGTTTATTGCACTCCCGGAGGAAACACTCTGGGCTTTAAGGGGAGAGAAGCACACAGGTCAGCTATGCCTCCCCCTTCCCTCTTCTGGCCATTCACAAAAGCCTTTGTATTTTTTGAATGAGTTCATATAATACAAAGGCTTCTGTGAGTGGACAGGAGGAGGGGAGGGCATAGCAGCTGCAGCGACTCTACACTTCAAGAAGCTGAGACTAGAGTGTCCAGCATCGATGCTCTGGAAGCTATCTTAACTTGTAAGATGTAAATTGAGATTAGTTTATAAGTTGGCATACACCTAGTTGGGCTTAAAAATTATGTAATTCCAGCATTTACTATACCTGATTTATGCCTCCTGTATAATGTACTTGTATGAAAATGTATCCTGTTCTTTTTGTATTGCTTTCTTTTGTGTGAAATCCATGGTGTTCCTGCCAATCCCTGTGCTTTCCTATGACAAGACTGACAAGACTAGGCATGAGAGCACAGGGTGGTCAGTTCTCTAGCTCCTCTGGGAACTCTGTGTGTTCTCTTCCAATGATCAGGCTTCTTCTGACACGCCCCCCTGTACAGCCTGTCACTGGGAAGATCAGTCTGCTGCTGTTTCTCCTCCCTCACCTCTCTATGTATATCAGAGGCTATGTGATCACTTGTTTAAAGGGGGGAAAAAAGTATTCACAATGTTTTTTATCTATATAAATATGTTTTGCCTCTCTTTTCTATTTTAAATTAAATATGTTGTGTGACAAGATGAGGGTTTACACGTTAACTCAGTATGCCTGCAACTTTTATAAAGTTGCTGAATTCATGGAGTACAGCTTTTAATGTAAACTCGTCTTGAGGAAAAAAACATATTCCAAAGCAGTCTATACTCGAAAAATGTGGACTGGAGCTTTACGGCAGTGGATACTAAAACAAACTGTACTGGAAAGATGTGGACTGGAGCTTTACGGCAGTGGATACTAAAACGGACTGTACTGGAAAGATGTGGACTGGAGCTTTACGGCAGTGGATACTAAAACGGACTGTACTGGAAAGATGTGGACTGGAGCTTTACGGCAGTGGATACTAAAACGGACTGTACTGGAAAGATGTGGACTGGAGCTTTACGGCAGTGGATACTAAAACGGACTGTACTGGAAAGATGTGGACTGGAGCTTTTTGACAGCGGATACCAGTGATCTATAGTAAAATGATGTGGATTGGAGCTTTACATCAGAGGATGCCAGAACGGTCTTTACTGGAAAGACGTGGACTGGAACTTTATGGCCAAACAATCTGTACTGGAAAGATGTGGACTGGAGCCTTACGACAAAGGGATCTGTTGTGTAATGATGTGGAGTTGATCCTTATGGCAGAGGATGCCAAAGGGATCTGTACTCGAAAGATGTGGACTGGAGCCTTATGGCAGAGGATGCCAAAGCGGTCTGTACTGGAAATTTGTGGACTGGAGCTTTACAGCAGAAGATACCAAAGCAGTCTATACTGAAAACATGTGGACTCGAGCCATGCAATAGAGGATATTAGTGAAGCCTATTCAGAAGAGATGTACTGGAAAGCTGTTGGCTATAATCTTTAACATGACCCAAGATGCTCTGCACTTTCATATACTGTAGGGTTTGGTCACTATTGTACATTGGGTATAGAAAAGAATCACCCCCCTTTAAAATAATCAAATTTTTTTGCTTTGTAGCCTGAAATTAAGTTTTTGTTTTATCCAGCTATATATTCAGTGCAACTTATAACATTCAAGTTAAAGATCTAACACCAACATGTCAGGAAAAAAAAAACAGAATCACTGAGTTGGAAAAAGGATCACCCCCTCCTAAAAATTACTTGTAAACTCAGGTGTAGCTAATCACCTTCTCAATGGCACACAAAGCCATTTGACTTTCAACTGTGATCAGCTGTGGTCATTTTGATTAGCTCTGCATGAAAAGAGCTTTCCTGGAGCATTTCAGTCCCTGTTAGTGCAACTGAAGCAAACAATCAACTATGGGTGGCAAGGCACTGTCAAAAGGTCTCCGGGATAAAGTTGTGGATAGGCACAAGTCAGGAGATGGATAAAAAAAATTCAAAGGCTTTATCAATGCCTAGAAGCACTGTAATAGAGATGTTGGGTGAATAACTAAAAACAAGTCATATGCACACAATCAACATGTACCCATGCAGGTACCTTTTTAATCAGCATTTAAACCATTACATATTCTACACATGTGAAAGACCATCTACCAAATGAACACCTGCCCTGGCACATCATAGCATTCACCTGGTACTCCCAGAAATAACAGAATCCTACTGCAATATTCTTGCACTGTCAAAACCTCCTCTTTTATTATCATATGGCACACAGGAGGATATATCTTATAGTCATCACAATCTGCATAATAACACACACCAGTAAGAGTGTGAGCATTACAGCATGAAATAGACGCATCATCTGACAGCATCACAGCATAGAATTAATACATTACCGAAGCTATGTGGAAGCGGGAAGGAACAAATCACATCGGAACCAAACTGCCCAGGGGGTCACGGAGAAGCTGTAGGCGGGACCAGTCGATGAGCCCATATAGCCTTGGCAAAAATCCCAGTGTCAAAGCGTCCTCTGGCCACTAAGGGGGGTAGGGGGCTTCTACTGGTCTTGCATGGGCTTCTGCCTTATAAACCCATTTTCTGAAAGCTGTCCAATAGTGGGCGGCGCCACACCTACCACAGGAGAAGCTAGCAGAAGGGTTCCGCAAGGATAACAGAGTCACATTCAACCACCATATTCGTTATCTGAAAAGTCACACTTTTACTTCTTATCTACCCCAAAACCTCTTTTCATCTCCCCAGACTTAAGGATTTCTAACTTAGATGTCCTTAAACAGTTTTTTTATCTCCTAATGTGAGGTTACTAGATGTCATAAACCTGTTTCATTCCATAAACAAGTTTTTATCTTGCTCTCGGCAGAATATCTTGTGACTTTGTTCCTTTGACCTAGAGAAATGATACATCAGTCACCTCTCATGCCCCTGGCATTTGGGCAACAATGCTTTATTGTACAAATTACCCAAGAAACAAAGGGTCCAAGGTAAACATATTTCATAGGCATTACAAGCACAATGAAGTCTATTAAGAAATGGAAGGTATTTGGTACAACATAGTTCCTCCCTGGATCAGGACATTGCTCTAAACTGGATGAAAGAGCCAAGAGGAAACTGGTCAGAGGGGCTGCCAAGAGGCCTTCAGCAACTCTGAAGCAGTTGCGGACATTTATGACAAAGAGTGGTCCTTGTGTGCATGTGACAACAATATCACAAATTCTCCACAAATGTAGCTTGTATGGGAGGCTTGCAAGAAAAAAAAGCCACTCCTCAAGAAAGGTCACATGCAGTCACGACTGAGCTTTGCCAAAATGCACCTTGAAGATTCTGAGGATACATGGAAAAAAGTGTTATGGTCCGATGAGACAAAAATGTAATTATTTGGCCTCAACACTAAATGATACGTCTGGCAGAAATCAATACAGCTCACCATCCCAACACCATTTCTACAGTAAAGTATGGAGGTGGTAATATCCTGTTATGGGGGTGATTCTCTGCTGCAGGGACTGGAACACTTATCAGGATAGAAGGGAAAATGGATGGGGCAAAATACCACCAACCTCTTGAGGAAAATCTGCTGCCCTCTGCTAGAAAGTTGTCAATGGGAAGTTGGTTTACCTTCCAACATGACAATGATCCAAAGCACACAGCAAAAATGACCACACAGTGGTTGAAGGAGAAAAAAAAAAAATGTCCTTGCATGGTCTAGTAAGAGCTCATGTGATTATTTTAAAGTGTGTGTAAAGGGGGGGATTCTTTGATTCTTTTCTATACCTGCTTTAAGCAAGCTGCATTATTCCATAGGCAACATGCAGCAATGTCAGTACCTGCATCATTTTTAAATATTACAAAATTTAAAGGATCATTTCTGCTGATATATGAAGGTACAAACAGTTACTTATTTTTACCTTTTTTACTAGCTTCCTAGACTTTCCTGATCATATGAGAAAAACATGCATTGTAGCATTTGTCCCTAAAATCCACACTCTGTATTCAAAGATAAATATGAATATTTTCATGGTTTGCAATTACTACTGTTTTGCATGTGCCTGGAAATGGAGCTGTCATGTTCATCACTGAATGCTTTGACAACTGATTTTGACTGTTTACCTCTGAAAGCGCTATGCCTTCTAATGTGTTGCATGCATATTCAGGTTCCAGTGTAAATGGGTGTGTTTGCTTGTCCTTTTGGATCAATTTTTTTTGACAGAGGATTGGTATTGGGGGATGTGCAGTGTGGCTATCTTACTTCTGAAGACTTACACCCATATGCATTTATTTGTTGTATATTTTTAAGTTTCATGATACAAATCTTACGTGTGTAGTGCAGTTTACAGCATCCAATCACAATTCTTCTTTACATTGTTATCATCTCTGATAGGTGGACAGGACAGAGATTGACTGAGCATCTTTCCAAACCGAGGGGAATCAGTCCCCTAGACTGTTGTCAGAGGGTGCCCTCATGGAAAGAATTCACCTCAACTTTTGTTTCAATGACAGCTTTACAATTTTGGATTGCCCATCACTTTTTGTCCCTGAAATAAACTTGACAATCTTTCCATTCCCCAGTCTGTCAATACTAAAGAAAATAGTTTTGACTGGGATTTGAGGTTATATATTATTTAGAAATAATTGCACACTTGAACGTTTATTTTCTATTGCCAGGACCTAATTGAACCACAAAAGGAGGAAGAACATCTGCCCTATAAAGAGGAAGTTTACAAAGACTCGAGCACTTTCTTAAAGGTATTAATTACAATGCATTTACTTATTCTTGTATATTAGAATTCATTTGAAGAGTATAGTATAACTAGTACATGGATACAAATTAAAGGGCAGACATCACTAAATGGCAGACCGCTATCCAGATCTGGATTGTCCCATCCAGACCTGCCGCAGTCCTGCCATTCTGGAGCTGGCTCTTCTGCACAGCCGCCGTCACTGCTGTCATCCTCATCAAGCTGACATCAGAGGCAGGAAGGTTCCGGATGGAGGGTGGTTGCTAGCAACCAATCACAAGCTGGTTACCAGGCAAAAGTTGTGAGGCTCCCACCTTCCTTCCGGAGCTGTACTGCCTCTGATGTCAGCTCTAGACTGATGTCTGGAGCTGAGATCAGTCTAGAATTGACTTCAGAGGCAGTAGAGCTGTGTAGGGTGGACATTGAAGACAGCTATGTCACTGCTGTGGAGGATGTGGGGGTCTGAGGACCGGAATCTGGAGGGGGGTGAAATAAAGGGGTGTGGGGGGGAGCTGAGGGCAGGAATGTGAAGGGGGGGGGGGTTGACAACAGGAATGTGAAGGAAAAGGGGGGGGGGGGCAGGAATGTGAAAGTGGGGGAACGGGGGAGACACAAAGGAGGGGGTGACGACAGGAACTGATGTCAGTAATGTGAAGGAGGAGGGGGAGGCTGATATAAAGGGGGCAGATGACAGGAATGTAAAGGGGAGGTGATATTAATGGGGGGTGAGATGTGAAGGGGGGTTGTGATGTAAAGCAGGAAGGGGGGGAGGTTGTGATTTGAAGGGGGGACTGAGAACACTGTTGTAATGATGGGATTGTAGTGCAAAGGATCTGAGGCTAGGTTTACATCATTGCTACCTGTGTTCTGCGTGTAGGCAGCCCATCCATTTCAATAGGCTGTCTTACACGCACAGAAAAAAGTTCCTGAACCTTTTTTTTTATTTAAATTGCACTGGACCTAACCGGTTTGGGAATGACAAAAATGTGTGGCCAATGCTCCAAGATGCCATTAAGTATCAAACATGCAATTCAGACCTCTGCTGGAAGAAAATGTTAGTGGCTGGACCTGCATAAATTTTAATTCAATACCCCTGTTGATTTACTAAAATTGGAGAGTACAAAATCTGGTGCAGTTCTGCATATAAGCCAATCGGCTTCCAGTTCTTTTGTTATTTTTTTGTCCATGCTTAATTGAACAAGCTGAAGTTAGAAGCTGATTGGCTACCATGCACAGCTGCACCAGATTTTGCACATTCCAATTTTAGTAAATCAACACCATAGTCTCACAATCCAGTTGGTATTTTATAGCGTACCCTTCTAGAGAACCATGCTACTAAATATGCGCTTCATTTTGTATTCTTGTTTGCATCCAACTGCTTTGACTAAAAACCATACTATCTAGTAGAAGCAGTTTTCCTTTTTTTCAGACACACCACAATATATGTGCACATGCCAGTCTCTCTCAGATCCTCACCATTCTGTACCTCACCTGGACTTTCAAAGTCCCTGTAGCTCCATAGCTTACCTGACCAAAGCCTAAGGCAGGTCATACATCATGCAGTTTTCTTTCCTTCAACCACAGGTTAAAGGAAAAAAAATTGCTTGATTTCCCCCGTCAACACAGTCAATGGGAATCCCTCCCGCAGCGCTTTTATATTTTCACAACTTTTCTTTGATTTTATAAATGGTGTATTTAGAAAAGGTATATTGCCATGTGTGATGAAAACTGTCTCTCTTTTTCCTTCAAAAGCTGCTGTGTCTCATTCAGAGACTTTGCAGAGAATATGTTGCCTTCAGCTCTGGAGGGCTGCAAACTGACTAGACTGTACACGTCACCATATGTATCACTGGTCAGCAGACTGAACACAAAGGTCACTTCTCATTGACCAAAGAATAGTGTCATTGAGTACTGACATCATTGTTCACTGTGCTCATCGCTCTTATTTGCTGTGAAATGAACATAGTGCCATGGATGCCACAAACAATGTCTACTATTTTTTTCCAGTTTGCCTAAATTCAGAAGGTTTGTCCTCATGCCTATATTTGATAGTACCGTAAATAAATAAATACTTTTTTTTAATTTGAAAAGTGAATTTGTGCTTTAGGTGCAGTAACTACACTATATTTCACTTTCTCCAATACGGAGTCACAAACCCAGAGTAAGTATGCAGACTCTTGACATCCCTGATATATACTTCATTGTGGCTCAGTGATTGAAGGAGTATTGAAACCTGAAGGTCAGCATAACTGAAAGTCAATTAGCATTTTTAGAAGGAGGTCAGCGACCACAGCCCCATTTTTTTCCCAAGAAAGGTTTGTTTCAAAGGTTCTCTGTAAATTGTATTCTCCAGATACTTGTTGTGAAGTGAAATAACTGGGCACAAGTTACACAAAAACATTAGCTTACAAGAAACAGAATTGCTTGTGGGGAAGTAGCTGTCGCATAGTTTGATGAAGGGGCATTCGAAGTGATGGCATAAAATCAAAGGTTCACGCTAATGTGGAAAGGTTACTAATATATTCCATCGAATGGTTTCACGTTTCACAAATGGAAAAGTCAATTAGCCTACTGACTTGTCTAAAGCCATTATTTCAGTTTGGACATGTAATCAGGGACAGAACCAAATACGATCTCTTTTTTCCAGAGAGTCTTTGGGATTTTTACCAGCAATTCATCTTGTGACACCTGGTTTTACCAGATCATTTGAAAGTGTTCTTAATACTAGATGGAACAATAGCAGTCTTGGTAAAGGTTTGCAGTGGATGCGTGTGACAATGAAGCGGAAATAAGTGGAATCCCTAACAGAATATTTAGTTGGCACTCATTATAAATGACTTACTGTTATAAGCAGAAAAGTGACTTATTTTTTTGGTAAGCAAACTAGTAAAGTTAAGATAGCCGTCAGACAAATTTGTCTGAATGTAGAACGTTTATTGAATTCAACACTAAATATGGATTCTTTTTAAGTGGAACTTTTTAATCATATAATAAATAGATAACCTTGCAATCTAGATATTTTATTAAAAACAAAGGAGAGAACAGCACTTTACAGTCAGTGTTCTATTGCTTTCACAGTGCTGTTAGTCTAACACAGTGAGCATACTAACAGGAGTGAGGAACAGAGGAATGACTTCATCAGTTTGCTGCAGCACCTTCATTATTTATTCAATAGACAGGGGTTAGGTAGAATTTTGGCACCCATTTTTCCTGTAGGTGCCCATCAAAGCGATGCATGTCATTACCTTGATACTGGAAGGGTTGTGTGGGATACTGAACTGTGCTATACATACCAAACAGACCTGTCTTACTTGAGTGTCATTCCTAATATCACTTTCACAGTTTTGCATGCTTTCATTGTTGCATTACAGATGTGTAGGTTTTCTACTTAGCGCATACATTTGGATTTCCTGCTGAAGGATAATTGAGACAGAGATAAGCCCATAGACAGTCTTGTAAAAGAATAAGGAAGAAGCAGATATGCTGCCCCTGTGCGGGTATATAGGTGTATATGTCTAGAAGCTTTCATTGCATTCTTCCCGAATGCCAGGCTTCTCAGTAGATCTCTTTAAGCAGAGACTAAAGTACTTTTTTTTTTTTTTTTTTTTTTTTTTGCATCTTCATGATCTTCTCAAACATCCCAGCCACCTCCTGTCTGCATTTACCGATCCAATGTTGGTTGTACAGGACTGGTTTATTGATAATGACAACATTGGACCAAATCTGAGCAATATGTGCTAGCACAGCTGCGTGCAGTCCCCACCAGGAGTGCACGTGCTAGGTTTACAAAACAGAAGAACATTTGTAAGACATGCACAGTGTTGTCACCCTGTAATAGGAAAGGCCTGAACAAGATCCTTCCTGGCAGGATCAACAGACTTTATTTTTATAGAAGCTGCCGATTTTGAAACAACTTTTATAATTACAAAGATTGTGTTTACATCTATTTTAAAGAGAAGATCAGAACATGAAAAAAACACATACATACTCACCTAGCCACATGCCGCCCAGCCACTGTAGAAATACGTTGGCAGGGCTGGAAAAAAACACGTTTTAAAACGCGTGTTTGCAAAACAGGTAGGGGGCGTGCGCGAGGCACGCCTCCGCCCTACCTGTCCCGCCGATCACGGCCGCGGATGTCAGTCGCCGGGTTACAGCCGGTCGTTACCGGCTGTGTCCCGCCGATTAGCGGCAATCGCTGACAGAGAGCAGGGCTGCAGTAGCTCTGCTTTCTGTCAGTTCCCTGTCCGCTCCTGACATGCTGAGCCAGAGAGAAGAGTTTATCTCTCCCGATCAGCAGTGTTCCCTGCAGTACACACCCCCGCCCCCTAGTAAAACACTTCCCTCACACAGTTAACCCTTTCAGTAAATAAAGTTAACCCCTTCCTCCCCAGTGCCATTAGTACAGTGTCAGTGTTTTGTTTTTGTTTTTTTGCACTGATCACTGTATTGGTGTCACTGGGGATGTCAGTGACCCCAAGTCAGTTCCCCCCCAGTGTCAGAATGTCCACCGCAGTCCCGCCATAAGTCGCTGATCGCCGCCATTATTAGTATAAACTTTTTTTTACTGGACATGTTTTATAGCAAAAAGTCCAAAATATTTTTTTTTCCTCAAAATTGTCAGCCTTCTTTTTTTTTATAGCGCAAAAAATAAAACCCGCACAGGCAAATATTGTTTTTCTTCAAAATTTTTGGTCTTTTTTTGTTTATAGCGTGAAAAATAAAAAGCGCACAGGTGATCAAATACCACCGAAAGAAAGCTCTATTTGTGTGAAAAAAAGGACAGAAATTGTGTTTGGGTGCAGCATTGCATGACTGCGCAATTATCAGTTGAATTAGTGCAGCGCCGAGTAGCAAAAAGAGGCTTGGTCATTAAGGGGGGTAAATCCTCTGGAGGTCAAGTGGCTAGGTGGATGTAGCATCAGTCCCCTGCTGCTTCTAAGACCAAATCGCTGATCTCTCAGCTTTCAGTGAGCAGAGAGCCGGTGACTGTAAGTCAATGGCTCTCTGCTCTACTCATCCAGCGCTCACAGGAGTACTGGGCTGTGGAGGGGGATCTCAGCAGCACTCTAAGGCTGAGCCAGCTGCAGGTCCAAGCATCTGGGTAGATCCCAACTTTAAAGTTAGGATCTCTCCAGACTCTGGACCGGCTCAGTTACATGAGCCAATAGCAGAATTTAGCTCGCTGTCTGCTGAAAAACGGGTCACAGGAGTGCAGAACAAACCGCACTGCTGTGATCCCCAAGAGAAGGGCCAAAAGAGCTTTGGCCTTACTTCTCCTTTTTAACCACATATTGTACTCTGGATGTGTGGCTCCTACAGGCTCAGTGATGTACCTGTATGTTGCTGCCTTCTTCCGGGTTTAGGGCATGCGTGCACACTCCCCCCTGACTCCCGCTGAAATACAGCAGGATTTTTATCTGCTGTGTCCAATCACAGCCCAGAGCCCTGTGCTGACAAACAACACAGACCTCTATACTGTACAGAGGAAATGAGATTTGTTTCTTCTCCCTGCAAAGCTGGGAGAAGGAGTAAATAGATTTTAGTTAAAAGTAGCACACATTACACATATTAACTCTTGATAGGCACACACTTAAACCCTTGATTACCCCGAGATTGTAACCCCTTCACAGCTGGTGTCATTAGTACAGTATATACTATAATCACTGATCACTGTATTAGTGTTACTGGTGATGTCAGATTGCAGATGCACTATTACAGTCCCACTGTAAATCGCTATCACTGCCATTACTAGTATAAAAAGGTAATTAAAAATTTCAGCATATGTACCATAGTTTGTAGACACTATAACTTTTTCACAAACCAATTATTATACACTTATCGGGATTTTTTTTTTTACCAAAGACCTGTAGCAGAATACATTTTGTGTTTTTTTTCATTCATTTTTTTTAATCAGATATGTTTTATAACAGAAAATATATATATATATTTTGGTCTTTTTTTCATTTATTTTTATTTATATAATAAAAAATAAAAAAACTCAGGGGTGATCAAATACCGGCAAAAGAAAGTTCTATTTGTGTGAACAAAAGATATAAATTTAACTTGGCTACAGCGTTGAATTGCTCATTAAAATAGCGCACTGCAGAATAGCACAAAAAGGGCCTGGTCATGAAGAGGGTAAAACCTTCCAGTGGTTAATACAATAACAATAAAAACACAATGTGTGTGTGTGTGTGTGTATATGTATATATATATGTGTGTGTGTGTGTGTATGTGTGTGTGTATGTGTGTATATATATATATATATATATATATATAGATGTTTTGTTTTTTTTTTTTTTTTTTTTTTCTACATTTAAAAAAATAAATAAATAAATTATTGTGAACAAAATTGCCTAATAAGCCATTCATTGTAGTATGTAGTCCGCTGATTTGTGTTGAACAACCAATGATTATTTATTTTCTTTTAGGGAACGCAAAGCTTAAATCCACACAATGATTACTGCCAGCATTTTGTCGACACCGGACATAGACCTCAGAACTTTATCCGAGATGTTGGTATGTTCCCCTTTTCCAAACCAATAACCGAGTTACCACTGCTAACGTGACATATGTTGCGTTATATTGGATTAGTGTGCGATAAGTAGGAGGTGTAAAGAATCTAAAAAATGCAGCGTGTCAATGGTTTGGGAAATTTACATTTATGTGAATGAGTATAATCTGGTATATTGTGTTAATGTGCTTTCATCACATTTCTATCAACCAGCCCCAGAAAGCTTTCATGAAAAGTACATAATGTATATGTATCAGCAGAGTGTTAAAAGATTAGCACTTTAATAATTTCCTGTCTGGAAGCCTCTAGGCACATATGGGATTAGTTTATATATTTAATACTTGATTACTTGCACATGTATTGCTGTCATTGTTTACAGGAACTTGTTAACACCTCTTCCATCTCCTGTTTAGGGTTAGCAGACCGATTCGAGGAATATCCAAAGCTGAGAGAGCTGATCAGACTGAAAGATGAGTTAATAAGTAAATCCAATACTCCTCCAATGTACGTGTCCTTACAGGAATGATAACATTGTCTTACTGTCTTCTGGATTGTAGATCTTTACTGTGCATATTACTCTAGCTACTAGCAGTGTATTTTTAAGCCTACATGACAGGTTGAAGACAACTGGTAAATTAGAACTGCAGCGTAGTTTCAATTAAGTACCACTTAAAGATGACATTTTACTTTTTATGTACAAGACTGTTCCGCAAAGTTTCCCTTCTTAGGCATCATACAGTCATTTATAGGTGGATACATGCCAGGTACCCCATTGTGTTGACGCTGAAGGTACCCAGGGCCATTACTTCCGCTTTCATCTAGTGTTGTAGGTTTGGTATCTCAACCCATATACTCCAAATAATTGCAGCAAACATTTTTGTGGCTTAATGTGGACAGACTATCATTTGGTTTAGCAATTTTTGTATTCTTTGTTTTTCAAAGGCCAGCGCAACAACAATAAATCCTGCACAGTAGTAGGATCTAGGACATATATGTTTGTGTCTCATATAATTACAGATTTTTTTTTTTTTTTTTTTTTGGTGGCCATCTCATGTCCTAACAATGCTGACTTATTTTTTTGGTGTCATAATCCTTTATGCTTTTAATGAGATTGGCCATTCTATTTCTATCATTTTCTTTATTCTGCATATATGTACCACAGTCCTTGGCTGCACCCTAGTGACAGCCTGCTATCATTACAGCAAGTGGGGAGCCACTGATTTTCTAGAATAATCATGATACCAATGCAACTTTAGTGTATTTCACAACCCTATAGGAATGGCAGTGGTATTCATGTTGAGACAAAGATCCGTGCAGCACATTAATTGTGCCATATATAAGGAAAGCGTTTTACATTTGCATCCTTGAGCTGAACGAAAATTGTGTCTTTGCTTATAAATCAAAGTCCATGACTTCTGTTGCTGGACAGAGCTTACAGGAAACGGTGTGTCCCTTTTATCAGTTTCTGAAGGACCTTTTAAAAATCACAATATAGTTTTGATGTTATCTTATCTTTAGATATTTTGTAAAAGACATTTGATCATTAGGATTTGGGCTCTATTCACAAACAAGAATGGCCGGTATATTTGAGATGCTTTTTATGCTCCATTTATCTAACACTTCACCCTATTTGAGGTCTACATGGAAACTGATTGTGATGATGATCTGATTAGTGCTGATACAGTCATATACAATCTGACTATGTACAGGCACTAAACAATCACAGCAGCTTGGTGCAGGTAACTGCCTGATTACTGTTCTAAAATTGTTAATGAACGATAAGCTGGGGATACACAGTACATGTACAAGTCAGATTTACTGATAATTTCAAGATTTGGTCTTCCCCTTGAATACAGAAGTGTTCTTTACCTAATCATTATTACATGGTTATGTGGCCAGTAGTGAAAAAAAAAATTGGCATTACACGTCATTGTCATAATGTTATAATCTACCTAAGGAACTGGCATTTCATATTCTTACTAAGAGCTGAAATTACTTCCACCCTGCCACCATCATCCCAATAAGATTTTCAAGGCAATTTGGAGGTCTAATTTCTGGCTATGGTGAAGCAGAGCAATTTAACTTGTTTTTGAATATTTATTTTGCTTATAAAAAAAAAAACAAAAAAACAGAATGTGTATTTCTTTTGCCAGGTAAAGAGGTAAAGCTTCATGCACACAGGCGTATTAAAATACTCTTATCTACACCAGATCTTTTTGCCAGGAGCTTTTTTTTTTTATCAAGCTTGTTTTGGCACGTATTTATGCAATGTACTGTGCCCGACATTGCAGTACGAGTCGTGCCAGTGTGTTTTTTTGTTTCTTTTTTGTTTATTAATAAGTGTTGAAGTAAGGTTTAAAGGATAAGGTAAGTGTGTGGGGGGGGGGCTGCTACACAGAGAAGGTTTTTTTACCTTCATTCATAGAATGCATGAAGGTAAAAAAAACCTTGAGCCTTTAGGACCACTTTAAAAGGACCAAGCAGTCCTGACTGTAGCTCTGTGGATACATGCGCCCTTGTAGCAAACAAACGTTAGGTCACAAGATCGAATCCCTGCTGAATCAAGCTAAAATAAATTGTACTTGAACTAGGTGCACCGTTCTTAAGAGGGGGAGTAGCCTGACCATGGCGCACTGACAGGGTGCTTGTGATGAAAGCTCCTGTGACCTGCCAGTAATAGCCATGCCCGGTAGGGTGTGAGCTCTCGGGGTGTCTTGGACTGTCTCACCTGGAAGTGCCCTACCTGGAAGAGGTGCATCGCGTGCCGTCAGTTTGAGGTGGGGCGGAGGACAGTGTGTTGGGTGCCGGTCGGTGAGGAGGCAGACTCCGCCGGGGAGCCGAGTGGTGGTTGCCGGGTGGCAGCCGTGGAGAGAGACCAAGAGCCTCGGACAATGGCCCAAGTGTAAGTGGAGGAGAGCCTGCTCATCCAATTGGGAAGTAATCGGGACCCAGTGAACCCCACAGAAGGTGATCCCCCCCTAACAGTGACTGCCACAGATCAGACCAGCCCACCTTTGATTGCCCTGAAATACTTTGGGGGGAGGAGGAAAGAGAAACTGAAGCAGTGTCCGAGGCAGCAGCAGCAAGGGCGGAGGAAGGTGAAGCGGAGGAGATATACGAGGGGCTACTGAAGATGGTAAGTCATAAAGTTACATTGACTAGATCTGTTTAAGGATCTTTCGGGGGGGGGATCACCTGGTGGGCTCAGAAGAAGTGCAAACAGAGACACCCAAGAGGAAGCAGAAGGAAGAAGGGAAGAAAAAAGACTACAGAGACCCTCAGGGAGAAACTGGTGGATGATTATGCAGGATTATTTTTGGGACACTAGCCCAGGCAAGTTATAACCCCAATATATTTTGTAGAAACAACTTTCCTGTCTTGGAACTAAAAAGGTCAGAGAAAATATATTCATATCCTGAAGGGTAAAGCTGTGAAAGAAGGGGGCTCTAAAACATCTGACGTAAGTACAATTAAAAAATACATGCCCTCACAAGAGAAAAATGCAGAGGGTCAAACCCCAAAAGACAACCGGGAGTAAAAGGAAGAGGGGAGATGGGAAAACAGCATTGGGAATTGCTCCAGATTCTTTGGGAGCATCCATTATGAGCCAAAGTGTAGAAACTGAAGGTATAGAAAGAGAACTGGCTACAGAAAAGGATGCAGAACAAGTGAAGAGTGCACAAACGTTTACTAAAAATGAGATGGCAGAAATGATTTTGCGATTGGAACGGGCCATAAAACAAGAGCTGTCGGTAATGCATGAAGACCTGGGGCAAGTTTTGTCATGGGTAGAAGAAACTGAGGGAAAACTGGACAAACATGCCCAAGTAATAACCAATCTAGAAAAACAGATGGAAGAGATGCGAAAGGAGCAAAGGAGACTGCTATATAAATTGGAAGATCAAGAAAACAGATAGAAGGAGCAACCTGAGGATATGAGGTTTGCCCAAGACTTCACAAGAAGAAGATAACAAGGAAAATGTTTAATACAATAACGGACAGACCAGTAGCAGAGCACCTGCTAATAGAGTACATGGAATAGGAAGATCCCCAGGAACTGTGAGTGGAAATCCCAGAGATGTGATTGTGCGATTACATTATTATAAAGATAGAGTGGATTTATGGAAGAAGATAAGAGGGAGACCAGTATTAAAATATGAAGATACAAGTTTACAGATCTTCGCTGATATAACATCAGAAACACTGGGCAGAAGGAAATTGTTGAAACCACTACTAGAACAAATGAGAAAACAAAACTTACGCTACAGCTGGGGATTTCCTGCATGTTTAATTGGATGGAGAGATGGCCGCTCTGCAAGACTGAGGTTCCCAGAAGATCTAACAGACTTTTGTGAGAGATTAGAAATACAGAAAATAGACATTCCAGGGTGGGAAGTAGGGGTGGAGGAGAATAGGGAAATTGAAAATCAGAACTGGCAGTTAGTTCTTAAGAGGAGAGAACATCAGAGATACAATAGGTAGAGGGGAGAAGGAGAGGGAGGGAGATGTTGGTGTGTGTCGCAAGAGGATCTACCACGTTTTTTTTTTCTCCCCCCCCCCCCCCCCCCCCCCCCCCCCCCCCTCCCCCCCCCCTTCTCTGCTCTCCCTTTTGTAGTTTGAGAATTTTAGAAGAAAGGCAGGAAACGGGAGGCCACATATGCATCCAGACACACTGTCCAGGGAGTGGGAGCTTGATCAGGGTGGGTGGGTGTCATCAGAGCTCCACCCTAGTTCGGAATCGACAGTGAAACTAGGACCACCAACTATTTAAAGGCAAGCCACGAGCCGAGTGGTTATGTAGGGGTATGGGGGGGGGAGAGGGGACGAGGAAGGTGGGGGGATATTCCCATGTTCCTTTTGATGGACAAATATTCTCTCGTTGGGCCGAATTTAGCAGAGGAAAGAAGAAAGGAAAAAAAATAAGGAAAATGGAGGAAGTTAATTTTATGACATATAATGTAAAGGGTTTGAATACCCCGGGGAAGAGGCATACGATTCTCAGAGAATTGCAGCAGAGATCTATTGCAGTAGCGTTCTTACAGGAGACCCAACTATTATTGGAAAAAAATGTTAAGTTGTATTCAAAATATTTCCCAACCTGGTATTATGCAGATTCAACAAATAAGCGTGCTAAAGGGCTTGCAAGTGGTATAGCCAAAAATCTAAGATTTTTATGCTACAGGATAAGTTGGTAGACCCAGCAGGTCGATTTCTGTTCCTAAGGGGAAGGTTACAGGAAACATAATGTACAGTGGGAAATATATATTGCCCCAATAGAAATCCAATGGCTTTTCTGAAGAATATTCTAAGAAGGCTCTTGGATTTTAAGAAGGGTAAAATTTAATTGTGGCAGGAGACTTTAATATTGCATGGACCCTCAGATTGATAAGATGTCACATGTGCAGAGAGATAGAAGCAGAGAGGTGAAAGCTATACAAAGTATGCTATCAGTCTCAGCTGGTAGATGCATGGAGAATTAAACCCCCTGGGGTAAGGGATTATAC